TTAAAAAAACATCCCATTTAGTTTTGAAAATACCCCTCAAATATACTGGTAGCATTTTGCAGACCTTCACAACAGGCCTAATCCGGTGAAGTCAGTGCAAGTCTTTCCACTGACATCAATGGGCAGTGGATCAGGGCTCATTTATGTGCTGCTTCTAGCTGTACTTTCCCCATTCTTTAATTCTTCTCTGTTTTCCTGCTGAGATTTATTGAACCTGATAGAGATAATTCTTGCTTTTTTTTTTTTTTTTAATTCTACACAGGTGGTAAATCTTTTGTTTATAAAGCATCTTCTAGACCAGCAAGTTTTACCAGCTGTTTAACAACCCAGTAGAAGGAACTGTATTTGTGCTGAGAGGACACAGATGGATGGAGCAGCTATGCTGGAGCAGTTTTGGGCAAAGACCACCAAAGCACAGAGGCTTCTAATGTAAAAGCTACCCCATGACTTCAAAGCTCCAGTTTCAACTCCTGTGTGCAGAAGACTGCTGTGTGCCCTTATACATCTTCAGGGCACCTACCACCTTGGACTTAACAGCAACACTAACATGTACTGTTTGATTTGGACAATTTATTTTTGCCAAATTGGTCCCCTGAACAAACCCAAAAAAAGGAGTGAAAAAGTGTTTTTCTTATAGATATAGATTTTTAGTTCATAAGATATAATTAAATCTGTGTTATCTTAGTGTAAGTGAGTCTATATGTCTTTGTAGAATCAAATTGGCCTGCAGCTGGCCAAAGCTACTCATCCTAATTGTCTGTTCTGGAGTAATTCTGGATTTAGGTTTGGAAGAGCCCAGTGACTAACAGATATTTGAAGGGGAGGTTGTTGTTGGTGTTCCTCTGGAAGCCATTTACAGAATGATGAGAGAGGTGGTGGGGAAAAAAAAAAAAAAAAAAAAAAAAAAAAAAAAAAAAAAAAAAAGAAAAAGCATGGAAAGCAAGGTACAGGACAGTTCTTTGCACAGGGTCATTAGACTGGCACCTGGAGTGGGTTAGCCTCCTATCTTAAACTTGCCAACACCTCAGTAATTCAGCAATCAGAAAAAAAAAGAACACCAGGAGTGACAGAGGTACTGAGAGAGACTTGCTGCTTCTCCCCATGTAATAGTGATAGGACAGCAGTGAGCAAGGGTCAGTATGGGTCACTCGGTCTTCCTGTAAACAACAGCAACCTTTTTCACAGTGAAGTGCATCACATTTTTGTTGTCTCTATAAAAAGAACAAAATACCTCCCCCATCAATTCCCCATCAGAGTACAGTAATGAAACACCCAGCTGCAGATGCAGCAAAAATCATTCCAGTTCTGCTCAGTTATTGTCTGTCTCATCTTTAGCAGATGGCTGGACGATGATGTCTGCAGTAATAAAAATATTAAAAACAAAAACTGCCAGCTGAATTGGAAAACTGACTAATTTCTATTTTTATAATGTGGTACATGAAGCCATTATTTCTGGAGCCAGTAATGGTCATATTCAGCAACAGCCATGTGAGAACATTTCGTGACGAGAAGAAGCTCTACTGGACTGCTCCATCTCCAGTCTTCTGGAAAGAGAGGGCACCTCACAGCATAACCAGAGCACGCAGGAAAAATCTGGCCAAAGACAGCCCTGTACTGCTTCCATATGTCACTTGAAAGAACGCTGGTAGCTGTAACAGTGGTAGTAGCAAGAGACATTCTTCCTCACTGAGGCAGAATATTTGAGGCTTGCTTCATTACTGCTTACACAAGGCACACACATTGCATAGTCAAGCATTGCCTGGCACTACCACTTTTGTAGCAAGACATCTTTGGAGCAATTCCTACCATGGCCATGCCTTGGCCTTCAGCTGCATTCTGGGTTCTCCTCTTGCTCCTTGACATGTGCAGATTTTCTTGCTGTGGGACGTGGAGATATAATGTCAAATGTAAGCACAATTTTTTACAGTTGAACTGTAAAGCAATGTCCTATGTTCTGGTTTACATAAAAATAGAGTATGACTAAAAGTTATGAACAGATGATGCTGCATGAATGCTCACTGGGTAATGATCTTGGTTATGTTTATACAGGATAGATTTCTAAACAACAGAAGACCATTTGGCACTAATTCATGCACTCATATCATTTCCTCCAGGAGAGTGACATTCTATCACTCTGTCATTGAGGTGCATTGTCTGGATCGTATTGGCAATTTCTGTGAAATTTTAACTTAGTGAAAACAGGCTGGTGTTATTCAGAGCTGTGGGCTAGTAACCCAGTTTTTGAAGTACAGGAAAGAATCCTTCTCAAACTCAGACCCTATGAAGGCATCTTGGCTGTCACAGATAATCCCTTTGTCAATATAGTGACATTCAGAGTATCCAAAAAGCTTATTGGTTCTGTTACAAATATTGTTGCTTTTATGTTCATAGTTAAAAGGCAATTTAAAGATTATCCTGAGATTTGGGTGTTTGCTTTTTCTATGAAAGAAGTTCACTGGGTTATGAAAACAGCAGTTCTGATTGCTTTATGGAAAATGCTTCATTTGCTGCACCTGTTATCTCATATCTAACATTTAGTGTTAATTGTTATTACCTGTTATTAAAGAGAACAACCTCTGGTCTTGTTCCATCTTTCCTTGCGAAAGTTCCATTCAGCAAGGGGACAGGAATAAATGAAGAACTATGTTATGTTGTCATGTTGCAGTATGTTAGACTTACCATTTGTCATGCACTAATTAATGCTGGTTTATTTCAGATTCTATGGCTTCTAAATTATTGTATTTTTTTGAAGGAAGGAAAATGCACAAAGCAATTTGTATGTTTTCAATTCATTTCCTTAAAAAGAAAAAAAAAAAAAAAGTATTGCTTTCCTGGGGGGTTGGGTGTAAATGGATTTTTAGTTTGTTTGTTTTTCTGAAACTGCATTTTTTTCTTCATTCATTTAAGCTTAGATATATGTTCCAAGTAAGATTGTCCCCTCATCATCCTTCACAACCTGGGAACTACAGTAGCACCTTTCCTTTTCAGTGAAAGATGGGGATGGCTCAAAACTCTGAAATCTAGGGCATATCAGTCATTCTTTATCTTATTTCGCCATCTACAAACCCAAACCAAAATGTTACCTGCCTACCTTATAACAGGGTGAGACTTTGTGAGCAAGTGTTTCAGAACTGCCACTGAAAAGCTTGAGGGAAGTGAAAATGTTGGCCTTGTCATTATCTCTAAGAGAAATAAAAATTCTCTGTGTGTGGTTTTGTTCAGTAAGCATTATTTTTAAATCTGAAATTACTTTAGATATTGAAAATGTGCTTGCACCCTTGCTTTACTACAGAGTAATAAAATTTTAAAATGAAATACTGTCTCTTATCTGACTCTAGCAATTTGTCACAGTAGGACTTGCTGAGCTGGATGTGGTATGTACACATTTAACAACAAATTATTCCATAATAAATTCTCACACAATATGCCTGCAGGCCCACAGCTTACTGACTTGTTCTGTGAAGAAGTTCCTGCTGCTGCTTGCTTTCAGCCTGCCACCCACTGGGTCCCATTTATGGTCTGAAGTTCTTATATTGAAGGAGTTGATGAACAATCAGTTTTATTTTATTTTATTTTATTTTATTTTATTTTATTTTATTTTATTTTATTTTATTTTATTTTATTTTATTTTATTTATTTATTTATTATTTATTTCATTTTATTTTTTCAGAATTCTCTAAAGCTTTGTCATATTTCACCCTAGCTGGCCTTTCAGTCATGAGAGCCCTGTTGACTTGGCTGCTCCGTGCATTTGCTACCATTGCTGCTGCCCCATCTGTACCTCTTCCGACTCCACTGAAGTTGTTCTTGAGTCTGAGGACTGATTCAGGATGCAGCATGGATTTATGCTGTGGCAAAATTCTGTGCTTCAGTTGATCTCTATTACCTACCTAATAATTCCTAGAATTTTATTTGTTTCTATAACTGCTACTGAGCAGTAAGTTTTTTTTTTTTTTTCTTAGTTTTCTCACATTCTGAACTTTTCTGGGGTGATAGTGGTCTTCCTAGAGACTTTCATTTTATATATTTTTCCCCTTCATTTTTGAATAACCACTTACTTTTGACTACTTTGAATCTGCCACCTGCTATTTTCTTCTGATGTCTTCTATTATCTTCTTGCATTGGAGAAACCCAATGAAACAGTAGACATCAAAAATATGTTCCATTTATTAAATGATCTATTTTATTTTATTTTATTTTTTTATTTTATTTTATTTTATTATTTTATTTTATTTATTTTATTTTATTCCTACTGCATTGCTTCAGAAAGAAGTCAAATATATATTTTGCTTCAGTCAAAATATATTATATATATTCCAAAATGAATTTATGGTCAAAGTATGAGTAATTTTTAGAAATCTTTTAATATTTTAAATTTTTCAAAAATTAATTTCAATAAAATTTTTGTACATCTCATAAAAGTGGTGGGAGATAATATTGGAAGCAAGTCACCTCTCTTCTCTTTAGTAGAATCTCTCAGACATGTATAGGATAGAGTATATGCCAATGTTTTATCCTGAATTAACAGCTCTGAGGCAAGAAGATTTTTCCATAAGTTTTAAAGGGTTGAATGGGATGCTACTGAGAGAGAGAATCCTTCAAAACATAGCTGGGCCTGGCACAGAGCCACTCTAAACATTTGGTTGGACTGATGTTAAAATTTCTATCTTGCAAGTATTTGAGTTTTAAATCAATAGAAATATTTGATTAATTATTTTGCCTTAATTCAAGTTTTTTAAAGCCAAAACATTAGACTGCAGGCAGGCAATCTCTTCTGCATGCCTTTAATGCAACCTCAAAACACATTAAATTTTTCAAAATGAAGCTTAATCCTTGATAATTTTCAGTTTTAAATTCCTACTATTTTTTTCCCCATGATTAATTACAACAGATTGTATTCATTAGCTACAGTCATTTGCCATAAAGGGAATGGACTAAACTAGCAACATTTTGTGCATTGTAGAATAGAGTTTGCAATGCATTTTCAGCTAAGAGACAGTGCACAATTTCTTTCATCCTGACATCTTGTAGCAAGGAGACATCCTGGACTGGTGCATGCTTCCAATACTACCTCTGAGGGGAGCCATTTTCCAACAGTTGTGATTAGTGTCATGGAAACCATATATCTTTTTAATCCTTGCATCATTACATGGGCCTGATTCTATTCATGCTTAATTGACATGAATCAGAAATAGGTCAGCAGAAGACCACAGCCCATTTCAACTGAACACACATCAAATAAGATGAAAACCCTTGAGGTACTTCTGTTGTTTTCAGTATGGCACACAGAAGAGAAAGAGTAAAATGAAACCGTACAGAAGAAATAGCATTAAGTTATTTTTCTTTTTAATATCCATTTGTGTGTGATTTGGTGAAGTTCATTCAGTAGAGAAGACATGCTATGCCAAAGCTTTGTCATATATAACTGTATAAATATAGAATATTAATGTTTATTTCAAAATCTGGTTTAATGGTATGTTTTCATTTATCTGAAATTAAGGACATATTCTGCAATTTGAAATTTCATTTTCAGCTGAAATCCTGAATGGCAAGAATCATTTTCAAGACCACAACTTCACTTGGAGGTACAGGAGGAGGTGGAGGAAGAGAGATGAAACAACTCAGCAAACAAACGGAAATTGAATATAATCATTATCGGTAAGTTATGCCTGGGTTTGGCAAAGAAAGCATCCAATGACTTCATGTATTTTACATTACTCTATAGCCCACTGGAGTTTGGTTCGCAAATGTTCTTAGATGCTGAATTGTCCTGATATGTGTCTCCCTGATATGTGCTTAGGAATATAGTTTATTTGTTGATGAGGCCAGCTGGACTATGACTGAGAAAATGTCATTCTTAATTACAGTGCTCTGAGAAATCTTAAAAAAACTCTACAAAGAGTGGGCAAATGATGTAGTTCAAGATTTTACATAAATCCCAGGGTGAGAGATTAGTGAAAGCTTTTCCTGTACTTTGAACTTCCACTATTCCATAGATATTTACTTTAAAGACACACCAAATATGTTTCATGGAATGTAGCTAAATGTAGGTTATATGAAGAATTTTCAAACATTCTTAAAAATGGTAATTTCTACTTAATTTCTGTATTTGTTTATATTTTTATTTTGCACTTCACAGAAGACAAATGACTGAAAAGTTAACTTTGAATAAACTTTGGAGCAAAAGCTCTTCAAATGGCTCTAAAATAAGTCAAAGCAAATTGTCTCAGTTTGCTTGTGTAGATCCAGCCTGACCAGGCTCAATAACAATGTGACAATGCCAATTGCTGAAAACCCACTGTCATCTAAAATTACGAAAAAATTCAGGGTAAGGACAAAAATATGAAGTAGCTGGTGTAGTCAGTTCTGCACCAAGTTCTTTTTATGCTCAGCAGTGTTCTCAGAGCAGACCAGAGGTTCTAGATCTGGCCTATTCTGAGACTCTTAACAAAGCTACAAATTGTGGAGTTCTGCAAGGAACAGAGAGGCATGTATGGATTAGAATTTTGACTGATTAGACTGCGACCACTGCTATATTATTTCATGCAGACTTAAAAAAAAAAAAAAAAAAAAAAAAAAAGAATCCCCAAAACCCAATCATATGATAACTTCTGGCTGAACTCCTGCACAATGTGAACTGGAGTCAAAACTTGCTTTAGCTAAGCCAACTCTCCCTTGGCCCCAGCTTTCAAATAATAACAGTTGTTATTTTTGTTTTGTTTTTTTCCAATTAGATGAACAAAACTTCTTGGGATGTCTTTCAACCTCCTTCCACTGAATCACTCCAAAGTAATAGTAGATGATTTAGACAAATGATCTGAGTTACTGATTTCATGGATGGAGAGAATGAGTAAGAAGCATACTCTGTCCCTTGGCTGTCATTCACTGCTTTACCATATCTGCACTCACATCCCAGTGAATGCGTTGATTACTGTTCTGGATTCTCCATTTAATAAACTGCATTAAACTCTCCCTGGAAAAAAAAAGCAAATGAGTGGTCTGGCTTATCTACTTTTATCTTGGCACAATAAGACATTTTTTCTAATCAGCTGATTTGGAGAGAAGTTTGCCATGTTGAAACTGGGGACAAGTTTCACTCAAATTGAATTGAACTGCCTCCTGCTTACAACTATACAGCTCTTTGCTGACAGCTCATGCACTCAGAATTTGGGCAAGATTTGCATGGCCCTGAATCAAAATAACATTTACAGTAGTTTTTTGAGTGCTTGAAAGGCATGGTGATGATCTAAGACTAGCATTTAGTCCAAACCTAAAGATCTGTTCCAATATATTCCAGTCAATCCTTACCTTGGGATTTCAGACTAACGGCAGGGGTTCAAAATGTGCTTTTATTTATGAACTTTGGGTGGGAGACATGCAAAGTTTAGAGCAGAATAACTTTCCAGTCTATAGGGATAAATATGCTGTTGGGTTCTGTGAGAATCTCAGATAACTGTCTCTATACCCACAAATCCATATGTTTCCTCACAGCTGCTATGGCATGAGACACATCAAAGGGAGAGGCTAAATATCAGGAGACCTTGAAATTTAACCTGTAATAAAATAGATATATGACAGCATTAAATTCCAGCCAAAACATATTGGCATTTACCAAATTTGGAGAGGAAGACATTGCAATCCAGATTGCAAGCTTTTTTAAAAAAAAATAATTATTTTTTTATTTTTTGGAATGATGATTTTACAGTAATTGTAAGTCACATGCTTGCAAAGTGCATAACAAAGCTGTTATTGTTCCATTTTGATTATTTTTATAGAATGGAAATTGAGGCTGAGATGCTTTTTCAGTTCTTCAATGTTGGGATAGTTATTGGTTTGGCCCCCAGTTCAGAGTGGGACAGGTGGTATGGATATATTTGGCTCCTAGTGAAGGGTGCCCCTGGCAGCTGCTGAAGTGGAAAGCAAACAAATGAAGCTTGAAATGGAGGAATAGCTTAAGCCCAAATTTGTAACCATTATATTTTAGTTTCTTTTCCTTGCTAACTAAAAGATGTATCTTTCCAACTTTTCAAAAGTTGCACATTTACGTAAAACATATGCATATACCAATTCAGTTCATAAATTGTCACCATCCCAAACCACGAAGCAAAAGGCCAACAACTTTTTAAAGTGTCATCTTACAAAGCACTATTCCTTTTATAAGAGAACAAAAGGATGGGGGCAAGATCTACAGCAATCTGAACAGACATTTCTTGAGCAAGCCAAATAGTTTTCTATCAAATTGGAAAGATGTAAGCTATCCTGTGTATCATTGTGCTCCACCTACTGGTACATTATTTATAACCTTAGTACAGATATACAAAGGCCTCTCTATTAAACTAGCCTTCTAAAAATGTTACAGATTCCCAGGCATTGTTTCCTCCTCCTTCTTATTCCCTCTGTTTCTTTTTCTTCAATCTCTTCAACTCAATAATCTAAAACAAAGAAGAAATGAAAACAGCAAACAAAAATGGGAGTAGGAAGGCAAGAAAAGGAAAATGCAATAATTGTTAAACCAAAGCCTGAAAAATATGTGGTTTCAATACCTTTATTTTTTTGCAATTTCTCATTGAGATGTCAAAAGATGTAGAGTAAACATTAAGTTTTTGAATTTTTCTTGAAACATACTTGCCATTTTTCACCCAGCACTGCTGCCAACTTTCTGACTGTGTAGTACAAACAGCTTTTCAGCTACTCCTACAATGGCGCATTCAGAAAAAGATGCATGTGCTAATGGCACCTGCACAGCTACTCATTTATGGCAGTAAAGGAGCAAGTGAACATGCCAATCAGATAATATATGCAGGCTGGATAACTATATACCTACCTGCCTGTGTGTGGTACCGTAGGTAACTGAAGGCATTGGGGTGACATGGAGGCAGGTATGTTCTCCAAGGTACATCCATTTTGTCCATAGCAGAAAAATAATTTTGCAATAGTAATGTATAATCTACATTATCAGTATAAGAAACAAATACTTAGGACCACTATGTTTCTCAGCATCAAGCATAGCTCACTCTTTTTCTTGTAAAATAAATATCTGGAAAAAAATATCTGAAATCTCTTTATATACACAGTTATCTGTTTACATTTTAAAAAAAGTGTGCATAAAAAGTGTGAAAAATGCATACATATATATAAGGTTTATCTACATGTGTGCATATATTTGCACGTATGGTAAGTATATTTCCTTAATGCAAACATGACTACAAAGAGAATGTTCATCTCTGATACTAAAGACATTAAGGCCTAGGGGATATTGGCTAGACACACTGTTAGAGCTGTGAAATAATTCTTGCCACCAGTTTTTCTAATGAAGACCATCTGCCAATAGATTTTTTTTTTTTTTTCCAAACAAGAATTCAAATTGTTTTTAATCCAGCTGAACTTTTGAGGGATTAGCTATTATGTTCTCATTACTCCTTTCACTGACAAATGACTTTGACTTTCAGGAGCAATTCCATGCCTGAGTCAGTTCACCAAGCAGAATATTCCATTTCTAAAATGAAAATTAAAATAAATAAATAAATCAAGCAAACAAAAAACAGAAAATGAACAATAAAAACAAAATTCCAAACCACAAAACAAAGCAAAACTGCCCCATCAACCTTCTGCCTCACTTATAAGCTCAGCATTAAATCATCTGATTTTGTTGAACGTGTAGATTTTACCTAAAAATGATCAGTTACACAGCACAGGGCTTAGAGGTATTATATTTTACCACTCTTTTCACATTCATCTGAAAAAATAACTAGAAGAATCCAAAAAAATATTTCTAGTGTTTCTAATTGGTTCAGTAATAACTTTTAGGAATTTAGTTCATGATTTTTATTTTGCATGGAGAAAATATAAGTAAAAGTAAACAAGCAAATACATATATAGTGCATAGTGCATGTGGGGCTAAAAAAAAAACAAAAAACGTGTGTATGCATTTTAATCCAGACTTTCAGGAAATTTAACTTACTCTTTGAATAAGGACTTTCTGGATTCCCCGTAACAGTGTTCTTTATGGCAGGTTATACCCTTCTACAGATTCACTGTCAGAAAGCAAAAGTGGCATTGCAGCATAGGAAACGCAAGAGAATCAACTGACAGCACATTTGGCTAAATGGTAACTAAACTTCCATGTTCTCAAGTCTGTGTCACTGAAAAAGGCAATATATGAAGATTTACTCAGAGGTAGAATGCTCCTTCATTCAGGCTGTCCGCACCCATTTTCAGGCAGGAGGTCTAGCTAAATGGTTATTATAGTCCCTTTTGGATTAACATCCAGGAATTTTAGCTGCCAGCACTAGAACATTATTTATAGTCTTACAGTGCATTTCCAACTCATTCAGCATTAAAGAAAATAAAACAGCCTCAATATTTTTTGTGTGTATGGCAATGTTGTCATCTAATGGGAAATAGAACATCCAAAGTCAAAATGAAGTTACTTAAGCAGAAGATTCTTCTACGAGACTTAACATTCAAAATCAGTATTTTGATTTTGTTACTCATTACTGCAGTCCCTGGTAGATTGCTCCTACTAATTATCTCAGTAAAGGCAATGGGGAGCAAAGAAACACCACATTTTAATCTACTCTGTGGACCCATAAATCATCTCTGCAGTTTTCCAGGGGTATCTGTGCTACATTCTGCTTGGTGTGCCTTTGGACAGTATCTACTCTATATTTTTCTATGGTCTCTATTCCCTCTTTCCCCCTCTCATTTACTCAGCAACAAGCCAAGAACTGACACACATTTCTTGCAAAAATCAGAAAAATAAAAGATGACGCGAGGTGAAGGAATGGGTACTGTTGCCCAGGCCAGCCTCTGTATTTCTGTGGGCCATGCATGGGCTGGCACCATGGGTGACTGTGTGGAATAACCACTGAATAAGTAGCACTGGGTGCATGGTCAACTAGGTGCAGGCCAACAAGATATTGGGTGGTAGGCTCCCTCTGGACTGGGCTTCATATGTGACTCGTTGCTCAGCAGATGAAACTCATCTGGCAACCTTGAACTCAGTATTTCATTGACAGGGTGGGGCAGGGTCTTTTAGAGTGAGATTTCAGGGAAGCAAAGAGGGATATATTACTTTTTTTTTACCAGCAAAGAACAGACCTGCTGCAGCTCTGGTGCTTTCCGCTCCCATTGTGGGTTAAGGGAAGCTCCAGTTCCTTTAGAGCTCTCTGAGGCACGGGGCTGGTGTGGGAGCTCCTGTCATGGCAGGAAGGATGCATGTTGTGCCCACTGAGGTAGCATGTGCCATGGCATTTTGAACAGTATGTGAGAGCATGGAAATTATCAGGCAAAGTGGTGCCGTCTCTTATGTTATGGGATATACAGTGGCAGACCAGGGAAATTCCTGGGGATCATCCACACTGGTGAACATATAGAAAAAGAGGTTTCCTGCCTGGGATTTCAGCTAGGGCACAGTGTTGTGTGCAGAAAGAACCGGACACTGTGTGCATTGTCAGAGAATTTGGCCTCAGGGGAGCTAACAGCGATGATGTGACAGGCCACTGTAGACACAATGACTTATATTTCCAATCAGGATTAATAATTGTTCAGGCCATCAAACATAAATAGCTGGTGTTTAGACAAATGAATTTTATATCAAGCTTTCGGTCATATGTATTCATGCACTGCCACATCAATTGAAAGCAGGATGAGAGTCATCAAAGGAGCAATAGGTTGTGGGCAGTCTGACCTGATGGGTCCTGGGAAAAGTGTAGGTTTCAGTGCTGAGTACACAAATCAGCCAGGCTAAGCCTGCATGGGAAAGGAATGGCCAGAACATGTTGCTCATCGGTATGGCATGAAAGGAGTCAGTTTAAAGTTTGTGCACGCACACTCTCAGAGACATGCACGATCTTCTGTGTTTTGGGTTAACTTGTTTACAACACCATCCCCCAGAGTGGTTGGTCCAGTTGCTGTCACCAAACCATTACTAACCAGATGCAGCATTTGGTTTCTGGTGGGTAGATGGATGCCACAGGGACAGAAATCACAGATCTACAAGCCATTGAATAAGGCAATGGAGAGTTCACTAGCTCCAACAGCCCTTCTCCCTGGCAAGCTGAGCCTCCAGTCCGGAGGTCTGACATTTATTTTCCTTTTCCTACTCTGACTCACATAGATTCCGTCCCTGATTAGGTGGGAAGCACACTGGCTGGCCTGGCATGACACTTGTACAGGTGGCACCTCTTCATGTTGTTCATACTCCTGTTGGCTCCAGAGGAGCACCTGGCAAAAGCCATCTAATACTTACTTAAGTAGAGAGAATTAGAGGCAAAATGCAGTTATGAAATATGCTATGTGTATAGTAAATGAGAGATGTGCCTGAATAAGAACGAAATATCCAGTTCATTCATGCAAATGACCTTAACTCAGAGCCAGGCTTGGAGCCAAAGTAGAATAAAGTTTGAATTCATCTCTGAGCTTGGTGCTCTGAGGACAACATTTTGCTCCTGGTATAGCTTTAGACACTCTAACAGGATGGTCTATCAAAGATATCCTTGCCAAGAAGCATCACTTCTCAGAGGAATGTTACAGCAGTGTAACTCAGAAGTGAAACATTACCTCTCGGTCACACTTGAGCAGCCACCAGAGTTGCAAGTACAGCACAAATGGAATGTGGGAATTTGGCCTAAATATGTATATTGCATCTCTGGATTCTAAAAAATACCTTTAAATTTTTTAACATTTGAGCACTTCTTTTAATGGAAAAAAGTTAGCATTTTTGTTACTCACAGTTATAAACAAATTACAAATGGCTCTGATGAGATTTTAAAATTCCTGATTCTTAGAGTAGCAAACTCATGAGCAGCATGAGAAGTGGCTTGCCCTCTCCAGACTCTATCCCATTTGGTAAAAGGAGCTCGGGCAGGCTGCTAAGAGTGCAAAAGCTAAACAAGTAACAACTGCAGGCACAACACCCGTGCCTCTGCAGCCCTGGCTAGGCATTGGCATCCCACTTGGAAGGAAAATGGGAGGATAGCATTGCTGACTCACAGAGACAGGTGGAGGAACAAAGCAGTGGCTTGGGCTTAACCATGGAATTGACTGTAAAGGAAATTTTTTATTGCCAAGGGATACACTCTGTTTGTGATCAGTTCCACCATCAAATATCTTGTTCTTGGCTAAAAAAATGCATATTTCTCCTTGAGGTTCCATTGATTTATCAGCATATGAGTGAAGCGTTCTTCTGGTATTGGCACAGTTAAGAGAACCATCTTACTGGGCCTGACACAAAAGTCACTGCAGTAAACCAGATAGGAAAAAAGTTAGTCAGTGTAGAGCTGTCACACTGAAATGCATAGCATTTGTTACTGATCTGCGTTAAGACTCAGATTAGTGGCTAAGAAAAGGCTCCATTTCCCATTGCTCCTTAATTTTTTTTTTTTTTGAGTAAGAAACATTAAAATATAGTCTTGATTCAACATTTTGAGTTAGAAAGCTTTTGTTTTCTTCAAGCTGGAACTTCTCACAATTTTGAAATCTTAGCAAATTTAGGCATAAAATAATGAAAGACAGATCAGCATTGTAAAAAGATATTACAAAATTATAGAAATGAAATGCTTTAGCTGACCTCAGCTCACGCATTTTTCAGATTTTCAATTTGTGGAAATTATTAAGATTTTTGCCTTTCATCCTGAGCTGAGAGGAAAAAAAGTGCTAGCAGCTCAGAACTATCTGTAGTAGCAGACAGGAGTTTCCCATTCTGCTTCAGTCCCATTTGGTTGCTCTCTGTTTTGAAGTTATTGCTAAGGGCCACTTATTCCTGTAATCTATAAAGGCCTTCTAATGGAAGCGATGGGGTGAGGCAATGGAAGTTACTAAGCAGTTCTTGAGTATGAAGACCAAAGCAGCTCATGACTTGTGTCCCCCCCCATTCTTCTCACCCCTTGGCTTTTGCTCTGTTTATTCCCCAAACTGGCATTACTCCTTGTATTTTTACATGGGTAAAGACAAGCAAAGCACCTTGCTAATATACAAACCTCCGTCACACTCAGGGTACTTAATGAAGGGCTGTTAAACTTCCTGCAGACTAGATTTCAAAACATAAGAATATTTTTAAATGCAATTAAAAGTCTTAATAGATTTCCCAAAGCCAATCCAGAATAAAGAACATTCCTCTTTGGCAACTTGCAAATAATGGAGAAATTTCTGACCACAATGTCTCTGAAGCTATCCCCAGAGTAAAACTGGAATTTTTATTGCTGTATTGCCTTTTTAGTCATGCCACTTTTTAGCACTTTTCGTTCTACAAGTAAAGGCTAAATATATGAGCAAAAGTTTCTGATGCAGTTAGAAGCAGCTTATTCAGCCTGTGTTGTTTGTGAACTGGAGGCCACTCCTGTTCTTTCAAACCTCTGCATTACTAAGGTTTCCAGGAAGTTGCTCAGTGCTGTGCCATATATTATCAAGCAACTTTACATGCTGCAGTGAGGCCAGCCATCATTCCTTGCCAGTGAAATTCATCCATCTTCTTGTTTAAGGGCATCCTGTCAGTGACTGCACAGTCATGTAAGTATAAAGATTGCTCCAAACGAAAGATGTGGCCAGACAAAGACACATCGTAGCTCAGACACCACAAACTTACCTCATCAGCAAACAAATTTCATTAAGACAAGATTCATTTAATAGAAATTGGTTTCCAATGGTGTATAAATGCATCAGTCTGCCAATTTGGACATTCAAACTGGGGTTCAACTAGTGTGTCATTAAAACAGATTCATCATTCCCCACTTCCAGAGAAGAAAAGTTTCTGTTGAGATTACCTCACTAAGGACAAGCACAAGCTGTTATAAACACCAGCATGAATATGTTAAGAATCCCCATTGAAGAGCCACTCACAACCACCCTGCCGCTGCATCCTGCAGAGGCTCTGAGGTGCCCATCCTCTGTGCTTACAGTCAGATGGGGTAGCCAAAACATGCAGGGAAAGCAGAGACTGAGTGGTGAAAGACTGCTGTCACTAACACGGCAAGTCATGTTTGAGCTAGGAACAGGTGCCAGGTCTACTTTATGTGCTGAAAAAGATTTTAAACATGGCTATCTATTTTATACCACAGACATAGAAATATTAGACAGCAAAAATATATGTTTTTGTCTGGTTAATGCCAT